GAGAGAGAGAGAGAGAGAGAGAGAATACTAGTAAATGTGTGTGTGTGTGTGTGTGTGTGTGTGTGTGTGAGAGAGAGAGAGAGAGAGAGAGAGAGAATAACCATATATGTTATGTAGTCCACTGATGATGTCAGATGGGCTTTTTTCCAGTTCTTAATGATGTCTGACGTGAACTCACTTATAAACTTTCGTTGCCACCTTGCATTATTTTAACAAGATGAAAAAAGTTCTACATTAATCATATAAGAATAATTTTAGATATTTACCTGTCAGGGTTGTTTTTATAATTAAGGTTGGTGTTTTAAGTTGGTCTAATATTTTTGTTTCAGTGTTAGTAGCAGGCTGCAGTTTAGCAGGTCTTGTGGGATTGATATTGGCTGGAGTGTGCTGGTACAAGTGAGTATTTTATCAGGTCTTGTTACACTGATATTTTAAAGGGTTTGTGTGTACTTAACCAAGTTAGTTTAGCATTCTGAGGATAAAATTATCAAAAATGTTTCTGACAAGACTAAGTAAGCTCACAGATTGGCTTTTAAATGTCTAGATTTTATATTCCTGTGTTATACTAACTGTTACAACACCAGGTTGAAGATCAGTGGCTTATAGATAGATTACAACAAAATGTGGTAAACAACAGGATGCCAAACAGCCAGGTTCCTGTGAAGTCTGATTTAGTGGAAATTACAAGGTATATGCTACCTGCCAGGGAGACCACAGAGACATGGCAGCAAGCAAAATGTGACCAATCTCTGCAATTATATGTGTTTTCACTGAAATACAATCTGTATTTGCTTGACTTGGTATCAAAAGAACGGTCTTGGATAGCTGGACCATGGGGATAACTGCCTTGGCCACAGTCTTTGTCAATCTTGTATTGTAAAAAAAACAACACCACATTTTTTTTGTTGGGGGGGGGGGGGGGGGGTTCAATGAGGAACATCTTATTTAACGTCATGGTGATACTCAAAAAATAAATAAATAGTCCAACCATTGGGTAGTGGAGGGCTGTCCTACCTGTGAAGGAAAAAAAAGGTGGAAGGATGAGATTTTTCTTATATAACCACTACAAAAGTATCTAAATGTGAGTCTGTTGTCACTGATCCTGTGTGGAGTTGTAGTCAGAGGATACACATAGTTAACTACCAATTGCTCTCTGGTAAGACATGTCAAGGCTGTAAATGAAGTATGCAGGCATCTGTATACAAGCAGGCCATCTTTATGCACTATCACTGTGGACAGCCTGCCAGCTATCAGGTTGACCTAGTTGTCAAGGTAATGGGGATAAAGCACCTGAAGTGCATTGAATCAGTATCTAATATAGATCACATCCAGCCATCTTTGTACTTTACCTGATAAGCTCTATGTGTGGTCACTGTGTCATACAATATTGTGGTAGAATACCTTCAGTATAGCGGACTTATTAAAACATTCTTAGTGTTGTTGGATAGATTTAATTTCTTCTGATATGGGCAGAGATTGCAGTTGTGGTTTCTATGTACAAAGTCATTTATGTGTCTCACTTTGGAGTATCAACAGAAACATTTTCCAATCTTTAGTCTAGATTACCACAAATTGGGGTTTGCATTCTGTGGTGGTGGTTTGGCCGTGTCTATTTGTTTCTGCACAAGATTTATCAAAAAGTTCAATCATTTTTTATGAACATTTCAGGAGAGACAATTATCCAGGAGGAAAAAAAAAAGATTAAATTTTCCAGTGAATCTCATCTCCTAATATCTGTTTAAGTGTTGCATAACCTTTTCAGTAATTGCCTTTTCTTTGCGGAGGCCTGCATTTTTGTTTCCTGTCAGTTTGACATAGCATGAACAAATGTGCTTTGAGCATGTTTTATACAATAATGACGCAGAGTTTTGCAATATGATAACGATGAGCTTGCTGCAAGTTTTTATTCAATAATTAACAAAGTACCAGCTGTGTAGAGCTCACTTATTAGAGTAAGGTAAATTGAAGCCTATAGTTTAGTTTAATTACTAAGTAATAGATGCACCAGACATCAGCAAGGTTAATATGATAGACAGGAGTGTGAAGTACAAGTAGATGAAACGTACACCTTGCTTCTGGCTTATTCTATGGTGAGTATCCAAAATAAAGGACTTATACGCAATGTAACTCATGTTCGTGCGTGACAGTCCTTGTTTGGGAGACCCTCATCTAGATCTCTTGTTCTTAACACCTGCAGAAGTCTAAATAAATAAATAAATAAATCAAGGTACAAAGTGGAAGTTCTGATGACAAACCAGCTTGAAATATGTCTAAGTGTGCCCTGTAATTGAAATGGATTAAGGTTAGATTTGAAGTATTGGTTTTTACAGTAATCGGCATAGACTATTCATCTACTGTTCAATAATTGAGTGCAATGTAGCTGCAGATGAAAGCAATTTGGCCTTGGATTGCAAAATAATTATCAGGGATTACTGAGTGTCCAGAGAATAAACAGGAAGCTTCTGATCTTAATTCTGCCAAGTTCCAGTACACTGGAGATGACATTTATTGAGATGGAAGTGTCATGCATCTTCATGTAGGTGATGTTCATGAGGAAATTAATGAGGAGAAAAACACCAGGATGTGAGAGGCGGTGGCTGAAAATATTATTTTTGCCCAGAAATGTGTTTTGTTATTGAAATGTTTTGTGTTATTTGTGAGTTCAAGGTCACACACAGAAGCTCCATGTGATCCAAAATAGCAATCATGGCTTCCATCTGTTCAGTGTTTTAAAATGTGATAAAGAAACTAGATCATTTTTGAGATCATAGGCTTCCACTAAGGAAAAGCTGTTATTAAAAAAAAAAATTGTATAAAAAAGGGAAAAGCAGTAATTGAAGAGGATGGTAGATATTAGGAAGATTCAGGATTCAGTTGAAATTGAAACGTCTTCTTTCCTTCCTGAATAACATTCTGAAAAAGTAATCAAAATTTGCTTAAAATACTTTGAGATAACCTGGCTCCTAACAAAATAACCAGTGATGATGAAACCCAACCCTTTTAGGAGGCCATATAAACAGAAATGGCATTTGCAAACTCGACATTCAAATTTGTGAGCACAAATGCCCACTCTCAGACACAAATTAAGAACCCCAATGTAAAAGAAGTCACGAGCACAGCATTACGAGCACATTACAACCAACAGACCATAAATCCTAAATGCTTGTGTGATCCAATGCTCTGGCCACTAATTTTATGTTGGGGTACTTTAGTTCGTGGCCTGAGTGGTTTGTTCTCCCTGAGAGAGATTGCTAGCAAGCAGCCAATTATGGTTTACGCGGTCTGTAGGTTGGCAGAGATAGAGATGACCAGGCAGACGCCGGGCAGTTAGGGTGAAACACCGTTTATGCTATCAAATTGTGTTTTAATGAAGGATTTCTGGCCAATTTTACAGTGAAGAAATGCAGAGTATTATATTTTCTATCGACTTTATGTTCCGTTCTAAACTCAATTTTGTGTGACCTTTCTTTAAAATTTATTCTGACTACAGAAAAATTACAGCCATTTGTGTCTGTATTTTCCCTGTATTGAGAACCACTAAGTCAGTATAATAGTGAGTAACCTGAGATAATTAGCCAGCATTCCCTAGTATATCATGGCATCATTACAATAACAGTTGTTAGTAGCCCACTTTGTTTCTGGGCAGATGTGAGCTGAAAGGTTATAGCAGGCACAATGATAATTATATATTACAGTCACTCTGATCAAAAGGGAAATTGTTATTTAATATTAATGTAGTGAAGCAGCAATGTTACATGCCATTTCTCAGTGTTATACTGATTTAAAAGGTCCAAATTTTCACCATGGAAACATACTAGTGTGGTTGCTTGATTTTAATACGTGCAGGAATTGTTGAACAGATGACAGAGCACTGTATTAAAGGTATCCATAATGAACCTCTCTAATATGCTGTGGTGTTAACTAAATCTTCCTCCCCACATATCCTTTAATTTACTCTCTGTGTTGGTACCAATACATTTTGTGATGAAAATTAAGGATTCCCCACAATGGGTACTGATTATGTCAAACTAAATTATACAAAGGAATATGTAATCTGTTTTGCATAGAACTAAGTAAGGCATTATAATGTATAAATCTTATTGCTAGTAGTAAGATATGGTTAGTATAAGTCTGGCTCTTTGTTGCATCACTGACCTTATCATTAAACTTACTACTCTTTTTGAATTTTGTAACTTTGACCTGGTTCAGTAGACATTATTGTGACTGTAGTGATGTAAATGAATTGTGTTTGTCTCCAGAATCCGTAAGAGCAGCAAGGCGGCCAGTGAGGTGGATTACCCCGCATATGGGGTGACTGGCCCCCAGGGACGGGAACACGTCATCTCCCCCGGGGACAGGAAGCTGGCCCAGAGTGCTCAGATGTACCACTACCAGCACCAGAAACAACAGATGATTGCTATGGAGAAGTAAGACAGAGAGAGAGAGAGAAAAAGAGTGTGTGTGTGTGTGTGTGTGTGTGTGTGTGTGTGTGTGAGAGAGAGAGAGAGAGAGATTCAGTGTGTGTGTGTGTGTGAGAGAGAGAGAGTGTGTGTGTGTGTGTGAGAGAGAGTGTGTGTGTGTGTGTGAGAGAGAGAGAATTTAAGTGTGTGTGTGTGTGTGTGTGAGAGAGAGAGAGAAAAAGAGAGAGAGTGAACGTGTGAGTGTGTATGTGTGTGTGAGAGCGTGTTTATATGAGAGAGAGAGAGAGAGAGGTCCTATGAAAAAGAAAGTGTACTACATGGGTGCTTACATACACTGTGTGTCTATGTGGTGGCATGTGTTTATATATGTACAGATGTGTTTGTATACTGAGACACACTGCTGTGTATGTGTATATTCAATGAGAACTGGCAGCTTTACCTTTGCTGTCTTTTTGTATGCACAGAGCATGCATGTCAACATCTGTTTCATATGTCGTACATTACTGTTCAGAACATGTGTGAAATACCACATGGTTTCCATGACAAAAATATCACAGAAAACAGAAACTTTAATATTAATCAGCTGCACACAGCTCACTGTGACTGCTAACAGGTTTATATTTGACCACAGATGTTTTCTGTCTTTAGTTTTACAGTCTTGTCCAATAAAATCATAAATTAATTACTAGTTAATTTCTATGTATCCTCATGGAGATGTGATATATGAAACATTGATAATAACCACTCTAGATGTTTATGGTCTTCAGGTTTGCATTATAAATTAATAAATTGATCACTAAAGTAATAATTATTTCACTCATTATGATATGATATCCTCATGAGACACTGACATTAATTATCCCTATCCCAGGGCCAATGGAGACATGAAGCATGATGGCAGTGAGGAGGACAGTGATGAAGAGAATGAGGAGGGAGACTATACTGTATATGAATGCCCAGGGCTGGCTCCAGTAAGTACACGCCATGTCTGTGAACATTTTTAACAAAGTATTTGTGAATTTTGAAGGGTATTGCAACCTGATCTCTTGATAAGACACTGCTAATTAGCATTGTTTTATGGAAGTACATTATTTACTGTTTGTATTTTCAGACGGGTGAAATGGAAGTGAAGAACCCCCTGTTTTCTGAGGATGTAACCCCCACACCGGGAGACAAAGATAAAGAAAAGGGCAATGAATAGACAGTGATGTTTCACAGCATTAGCCAGGACAATCAGCAGGCACACAGAAATAGCTAATATATTATTATGTGTATGCTGTATGATATATATAAATGTTCCTCGTTAGTGGGAGAAAAAGTTAATATATTCAAATTCATATCCAGATGCTATGATGATAGATTTAAAGCCACAAATGTCCTGAAGCGATATGTAGTTTAGTGAAAATGTTTTAATGGTACGACTCCCCTAATTAATAAAATAATGAGTTATTTGTCTGCTATAGGGTGGCAAACACAGCTGATTGTTGACGAATCACACTGAAAGCTGACTGTTCAGGTGTACAGGTAACCTCACAAATGGTTTTTAGAAAGAACTAATTTTAACTTGGTGCTGAGAATAGAAGATAATTTTAATGTGATAATTGGATGACGAAGACACAACATGGAAAGGTTGTATTCCTCTCCTGGAGGAGCTGTGATAGAAATGAAATAGTTTGCCACTGAAACTGCCCTTTCTTCCCAATAATTGTATTTTAAGGTACTGCGTAGAAAATGTCTTTATTTTTTATTTCACAGAGTAAAAAAAAACAAAGATGATAAAAAAAGGATAAACGGTTCAAGCAGCTGGTGGAAGTGTTTGGAAGTAGTTGTTCATCTTTCATGTCATGCCAACCTTTCAGTAGGGAATGTGTATCCCAATCTATTTTTCGTGGGAGTTTTGATAATATTACCCAAGCTCTAATGCCAATTCTACATGAAAATACTTGGTCGCAACACAGTTTGAGAAAAATTTTCAAAAAATATTTATGCTTGCCAACAATTTCTAGCCATGTAAATGAAATCCATAAATGTAGCTATATTTTTAGCATACACTGAAGTGCTGTAAGATAAGAAATATTCCAATTTTTTTATGTGGGGCGTGATATCTGATGAAATAATTTCTGTATCAGATAACTGGTCTTCTGCCATTATATGTGAAGCGCACTGTCTATTTCAACTCTGTGGTAATCTGTCTGAAAATCAACTTACCTATACTTTTGGGTAAAATATCCTGACTTTATTAATACAGCAATGCATGTTTTATAACTGCTTTATATCTGGCTTTGGTGACTGTTATGTGTTCTGTTATATATTAAGTTATAATACAGCTGAGGTGATGAAAGAACAAGAACAACTTAGTGACAAAGAGGAGAGCTTTCAGTGCAGATATGTATGGTTTTGATGGAAAATGGAGCTCATTTTGGCAGACAGTTATTTTCACCCTGTGTTTCAGAGGCTGATAGAAACTCGCCTCTGCCACCAGGTTACTTACATTACCAATTCCTGGCTCATTCATTGTGGATCTCTGAGACTTCGGGTGTAAACAATTCACAGGTGCACTCTCTGTCTTCTCACTCCATACACAGGGACATGTTGTCAAGTATGTTACACTGTATACATATCTCACAGCTCTGTGTAAAGCAAGAGAGGTTTGTCTCTAATTGTCTCTCCACTGTGAGAGCCTTCACCTTATACATTCCTGTGTTCTAGTCTTATGTTGTGAGACTCCTCCATTCACTTGGTATCTCTTGTCTCTTTCTTGATTTTTATTCACCACAATAAAAACCAACAGCTGAAAATATTAAGGTAGTTAATTCCTAGTTTTAGACCAAAGAGACTCTATTCTTTATAAACTAATATATAATGATTGTTGTTATCATATTGTTTACCAGTATTTATTGTCAGATATATTTGTTGAGTTTATTATAAAGAATTTATTTACTTTAAGCTTTAGTTAGGGTATATTCAGATACCACTATAGATAACAAGCATTGACAGAGTGGTTCATACAGCGGTGTTGGTATAAGCCAGAGACAAGCAGAAGACTGCAGACTTACAATTCTGAGGCATGTCTGTGCCTGGAGACCACAAACCAGTGTCTCTTCAACTCTGGGTCTACAGTGATTTTACAGACCATGTGTTAATTTGAGTATAAACGGGTAAGAAATTCTGAAATTAAGAATGTTGAAGAACTGTGATTGTGTATAAGTTATGCCTCCAAGAGTAAAACTCTTCAACCTACAGAATTCACCAAATATTCTTTGGGAAGGTGAAATTTTGTTACATATGGTCACAAGATTGCACCATAGTACTAACTTCTATAACTAGTACAGATAACCTCCAAATATTTTGGCTTGTCTCACAAAAGAACATCTTAGTCACAAAAGGACTTGGCATTTAAGCACATGCATTTGAAAAAGTCTGAACTTTGTATAATGGCCACTTTGTAAGCTGCTTTTATCGTTCTCTGCTATTGTGTTATCTATAAATTGTTAGTTGAGGTCTGACTACTTATTAGACTTGACAGTTCAGCTTGCAGTTGGAGCATTGTTCAAGGGGTAAGATCAGGAACTTCACTCCGCTGAATAATGCAGATGTCATGTTCCAGGATATTTACACCTTTAGTCATGAATATTCTGCAGTTTCCATTATGGAAATGAAGGCCAATATCAACTGTGTTCATTGGTCTAACCACTACAGAAATGTTTTCGTAATCTGCGTGCCTGACCCTCGACTGCTCCAGTTGCCTGCTTGTGTCACATGGAGAGCAGGTTTTGAACATCCTTGGCTCGTACTCGCACACTGGCATATCTTTTGCATTAAAGATTATTCTTATCAACAGATATAAATAATCTTTATTACAAAATTATTTTTATCTATGGATATTTAATTTGTAACTTTGCTCAGCTGTTGCCTTGGTTAACTGTCAAAAGACCCTATGCTGGATTAAGACAGTTGTTTTTAAAAATTGACAACAATTGACAAAAGTTTGTCAGACCAACAGTAATTTTAAATAGTACTTATTTATTCTGGAAATACAAAAAATGACTTGGAATATACTTCATACAGAAATTGGTGTATTTAAAATTTGCGAGTACAAGCCTTGAGCAGAAATGTGACATCACATGACCTGAACTGAATTTAGCATTTATTGTTGTGATTCTGTGTCGGTGTTCAATATGAAGAAATTCAGGTGCAATAAAAATAATTAACCCTTTACCACCTGTAGTGCCATGGTGTGTGTTCACATGGTGGGTGCAGGTCAGAAAGTCTTGGACAGATGGAGTGAAGAAGGGTTAACAATTCATCAAGGGCCAGCTCTTGAAGAAAATATGGGTGATAAAATGAATGGAGTTTCCCTAAAAAGTTTGGAGTAATTTCTTTGTGTTGTAACAAGGTATGTGTACAACAAGCTTAAGGTATGTGTTCAAGTTGCTGAGACAACTGATGTATGATATATGCGGCTGCAGGTTACCATGGTGATAGCACCCTGAGTTAGTCTAATGATATACATTATGTATTGTGTTCTGAGCTAAGAGAGAACCAAACCTTAAAGTTTTGAGGTTCAGGGTGTTGTGAGAAGGATCGAACACATAGAAATGATTAAGTTATAAGCTATCTAGTCACTGGGAGAAGGTATGTGCAGAACCAGGGCTGTCTGACTGGAGTTTAGGCTGAATAGTGGTCCAACTTTTACACCAAATGTGAAGTCTGTATCTGCCTAGTAAGATGAATCGGTATTAGTCCAAGTAAAATTTTGTGCCCATCTAATAATTTGATAATTACAGGAAAGACGACTGTGACAGACCAATGTTTTGCACTTTAAGTGGATTACTGTGGGTTGATCTTCAACTGAAGTAGATCAAACATTTGGTGTAAAAGTTTGGACCAGTTTTCATACTGAAGTATTTAATAAAAACCTGTCCAGTGTGGGACTGTTCACTCCTGGCCATGTTCTGAAGATAAGAGTAAATTCTGGCCTGGGTTACTTGTAACAATGAGTAAAAATGTAGGTTAATAAAATGTGGTGCAGGAAGTGGAGAGTCGTCTGTTATTGGAGGATTTTCTCTCAATACCTCGGCATGTCTTTCCATATATGCAAATCAACATTATGACAATAATGGGTTCAATTTTGTGACAGATATTTGGTTTACCATAAACAGCATGTTGGGGTGATTTTCTTTCTCTTTGTGAAATTAAAATGATCCAAAGTTAAAATGAACGAAAAAAAAAAAAAAAAAAAAAAAAAAAAAAAAAAAAAAGTAAAACTTAAAACATAATAATGTTTCATAATAGTGAAGAGAAAAGACAAATGGAATAATGAACAATTAAACTTGGTACTTTTCATTGATTTATTATTTATAATACATTTATAGTAAATAACCATCCTTTACTTCTCAGCAAACAATAAATTGACATAATGCCTGAATCATGCAAGCATGTCTCCATTCCTGAAAAATCACATTTGATGCAACCGTCTTCAGTGAAGACTTCAATAAGAGAGGTATTTCAAAATGTACAAAATCAACACTTGTTGCGATTACACTCTTACTTATAACTCTTTCTAGTCCAAGTATATGACCCCTGTGTTTCAACCCCCAGTCTGGTTCAATACAGGTATCATTAAATATTAACACTTTTAATTTCTTTTATTTCTAATAACTTTCAGTGACGGTGGTGTCTGAAGCCTGCACAGTGAGTCTAGCACACACGGATCTGGATCTTGGTTAAATAATACTTTATAATATACAATTTATGCAAGTTGTTTATCTAAACAATTATCCATGATTCAAACTCCGCTTAAAAGTGGTGGTAATAAGACACTTGCTATATCTACCTATAAATATGAAGTCTTCATATCAATCAATATTCCATGATTTCAGTTTTATCTATCACCTTAGAAAAATCAAAATATGGAAGCAGAATTTTAAATAACTTCCCCTAAATCTAATATAAATAAATAAAAAATTAAAACATAAAAAAGACCTATACATATATCTGTGTATTCTATATGTTCAAATAACTTATATAAAGCTCAAGTTACTTAACAAAATATATAAATATAATATTACACTATACTGTGACCCCCCCCCCCCCATCTAATATGTTCTGGTTTTCATGCCTTATTCCCTTTTTTTCAGATTTCCCTATATGAAATACATTTATTTGCTAATTGTGGCCTGTATGTACAGAACATTTTTAACTCTAGGAAACAGAGAGATATAAAAAGGTGTCAAATGCTTGCAGCTTCAGTGTAGCTTGAACAACACATGAAAATCAACACACAATGCATTAAGCAGAAATGATATGTTAACTGCATTGGGATTTCTATGATTAAGAATGAGATCAAAGTATCCATCTGCTGTGTGGTATAACATCTAAACAACTTACTCATTTCATAATTACTTCTATTGTGTTACTCTGTTAATCATCTCTATTCATTTTCCTCTCATAATGAACATACACATCCCTTCTTCCAGTTTAGTGGGGTTTCACAAACATCAATCTCATTAAAAACCATAGGAGGTCTTTTTCTTCACTATATTCCAACTTACGACCACCTTACGACGTACATAAACAATGTTAATTTCTTGATGTAAGCACAGGGACATGACCTCTAAGGCCTCATTCAGAATAGGGTACTTACTAGTCCCAGGGTCAAATATGGCTGACCCACTACTTCCCCCAGGGGGTATCAAAATCAGTGTATTTTAGCAGATTATTCGGCAAGCTTTGTAGTAGGTCAGTGTATTTCACTCTGCTACTAGTTAGTCCCCTATTTTGAATGGGCCTTATACTTACTAGTCGTCTTCCCCACAGTCTAGTTATTACAAGGTTTAATTACTTAATGTCCTGCTTGCAGAGTCAATGAGTGGAAAAATATTCCCAGCAAATACAAGTTGACCTGAACTGATTATCAGCAGATGTGTGAATCACTTGACTTATTTATATTATTTTTGATCAACAGCTAAAATTCAAGTTAAAAGCAATGTCATCAGAAATGTTGCGGGGTAAAATACTGCAGAACACGAGTTCTAAATTAACCAACCTGTTGCCAGAGGAAACTGTAAAAGATTAATTAACTATACATGCTAATTAATTTGAATAACACTGATGAAGCCGCAGATTGAGGAGACCATAAAATCTTTAACTAATCAGAGTTATAACAGAGGTGTTGAAGTTCCACGAAAATATTTTCACAATTCTGCAAGTGCTACGCAACAACCCTGTCAAAATTTGCAGCAGTGCATTTAACAATTGTATTCGAATCCTAACAGCAGCCATTCATAGCATTACAAAACAAAGACTCACAGTATGACACGCACATGCAGAAAATAAACAGGAGATTATTAGGAGATACATTTGACTCTAGAAAATTCAAAAACTGTCAGCTGAACTTTCTTCTTAGAACTAAATCCATTTGATCATCCGGTGTAAAGTTTTACTGTTTTCAAAAACATGTAAGTTCTGGGACACAAACAAAACATCTAAAAAAAAAGGGAGAGATATTGAGATCAAATGAACAATTTGTTGTCACAGTTCTATTTGGCTTCCAGTATCATCACAACTGCCCAGTGTGTACTTCTATATCCTAAACACAGAAGTGACTTGGTGTTATTGCTACTAAGATAAAAAGCCACATGTCTTCAGTACCAGGTCTCTAGTGTGTATTACATACAAATACACCATCAACAAATATGTGCACATTTAACAGTCTGGTTACTGTATACAGCTTTTAAATATCTTCTCTAGCTCATCACATCCAAATCTTCCACGTTAATGCTGTTCATTTTAAAGCAAAAGCTTTGTGTTTCAAATGCATATACACCACACATAAAGTCAGCTTCCATGGTGTATTCTAACTAAAGGCTCCATAAAACCAGTTTCATGCGGACGAACTATTACTATTTCCAGAAGTGGAATTAACAGTTTGCTGTGTATTGGGCCCAGAGTTTGTGTTTGTAGTTCGTCTCCGCACGGGATTTTTCTGTGTATTCAGAGTGGGATACATGACCCTCAAGGTCATCAAGGCTGAGCCAAGATAAGCCTGCACTGGAGCAGAGGTGCCACCTGGTAGCTGTACTACAACTGTTCCCACAGCAGCGATACCATCGTCTGTCGGCTCCAGTGCTATTGGGTTGATGTTAAATTCATCATCATCATCAACCTGTTCGAGATTGTCAGGGCCAGACGAGCGGTGCTTTCTACGGGATTTTGGACGCAACCGTTTTCTCCTCATGGGTGGGGATTGGCTGAACAGTTCCTCCTCGTCCAGGTAAACCATCACCTTTCCAAATGGTCTGGAGGCCATGTGTTCCATCTCCATCAGACGGCGCTGTGTGTTCTGTCTCGTGTCATGCACCTGCTTAATCTTCCAAACCAGGACACACAACGATAAAAACTTGAAAAAACTGGAGAAAAACACGGAGAAAAACACAAATAAATCAATATGAGGCTGATCCTGACGAAAGTACAAATTCCCAAAACTTTCATTGGTGGTGGCAGATCCTATGCCCTGTAACACAGTGAAGAACTTGGCCTCCTTTAAGTTATGAATATCTGACTCATGAGGAAGTGTTATCACAAGTCGGAACTTGACATTACGCACAATAAGTACAGTCCTGGGCGTATCTATGGTAACATACGTCACCATCTCCTCCGCCTCCATACTCCGTAGATTATACAGAGTGTGCGTGCCATTACTGGTGGTACTCCGCCGCCGCCGCGAGGACTGGGAGTCAACAGCTACGTAACTGGGGTCAATAGTGATGTTATGTTTCCAGGAGTTGGGGTCCACTGACACTATAAAGGTGTCATTGTACGGGGAGAAGTAGACATCCACACCTAAGGAGGATAGACAGACAGAAATGGGTTATTATGAAAAAAAAAATGTATTTTTATATGAACTTTGTTGATCTACTGACTGGAAATGATAGAAATGATTGTAACACAGGAATCAAGTAGATTCTGTACTTCAGAAAACTGTTATTCATTATTTAAACATATTTTTTTATATATATATATATAAAAAAAAAAAAAAAAAAACATTAAAAAAAATATTGACATCAAATCTTGGCCAAATGATACAAATTATGAACCATGTTCTGTTGCTCACCCCCACTGGTGACATCAATAGTGACCCGGATATCTACATTAAGATATCTGGGCTGGACAGCAAAGAACACAGTCTGTCCCTTCTGGAGCCGTGTAGGGTTCTGGGTACAGAAGTTCTGGGTGTCAGGATCAAAGCAGAAATCTCTGTCTACAGTCATCTTGTGGTAGCAGTGATGGCCGTTGGTGGGGATCCCCAGGAAATATTCCTTACAGACAGAGCACTGAAACAGAACCAGCAGATGTCAAATATTATAGAAAGAAAAAAATATTTCAATGTTGGTTTACAACCATTGCCATCTCTTACTTGCCACAAAGTGCTGCATTCACCTACCTTGAACTCCCCCAGATTTTTATCTGAAAGGGTATCTCAAGGATAAAGTGCAGCAGAACTACAAATAGTTCAACAATCACAGCAAAAATCAGGAAAATCCTTGAAGACGGAATGGGTTCAAGTATTCAACAATTTTGCGTGATGTATGCAAGTGTGCCTCCAATGCTGAAAAGCCTGTTTGCAGCATATTTTTGAAAACCCCACCTACCTGTACATCTTCACACGGAACAGAACCGTCTCCACAAGTTGGTGTCTTGGTGTTGTTGCCACAAGGACAGTTTGCTCCACTGCTGGCGTCACATGTGTCCCCATGACCCTGACACTTACATCTGGGGAAATAAAAAAAAAAATATATATATAAAGAATAACTGAATATCCATTTGTCTATTGTATTTTGACCAGTGTATATTCATTTTGACTGGTTATCTTATCCACATGATCAAAAAATAGAACGACTGTTTCATATCAGCACAAGGGCAACCTCTAACTGTACAATAAATATTTCAGCATTTCATGGTTGACTATGGCAAATTTATACCATATCTTTTTCTTAAAAACTAAACATGTCCTGTATCCTTTTAACCACAAATACATGTTAAAGCAACTTACTTAGTGCAATCATTAGTCGGACTCTCTGTGCTCTTTCTGAAGTAGCCTCTCTTGCACTGACTGCAGGTGGCTCCCTCTGTGTTCCCAAGACAGCCCACACACCTAGCACTGCCATCTGGTGGACCCTCTGTCACCCAGCTTGGCACCTGCAGGTTATCAATGGGAGGCAGCATTAACACTGACTGTCATATAATAGTAATAATTATGAAAGCACATTTGTTACAAAAGCTGTGGCCTAAAATGTTCTACAAAATAGTAAGAATCTATCAACCAATGCTGTTTGGACTTTATTATTTTTCTTTCCTGGATCACTTTTCAATGAGCGCTACATACTCACAAAGCAACTAATAGTCATTGAGGACCATGTTTTACAGGCCATGAAACATCTGAACCGAAGCTGAGTATCTTGAGTGCTTGAAAACTGTCTAGTACTTACAAAGCTGAGCAGTTTGAAGTCATTGAGAACCATCTGGTACTCCACCTCTGACAGACATACAGAGGAGTGGTTGTTACAGTAATCCTGGCAGGAAATACAGCTCCCGCCATTGACTGGGTTTCCTACATATAGAGGCTTGCACAGCTCACAGTGGGTACCCTGAATAACACAGAGTGAGTGAATACAATACATATAGAGGCTTGCACAGCTCACAGTGGGTACCCTGAATAACACAGAGTGAGTTAATATAATACATATAGAGGCTTGCACAGCTCACAGTGGGCACCCTGAATAACACTGTGTGAATACAATACCTGGATTACAGTCACTGTTATTAATAATTACAGGAAATTTGACTCCCTATGTTTGCAGGGTGTTATGCATTGAGATTACGACAACTTTCATTTGTTGTCAACTTGTATGTGAGAACATAAGAGAAAGAAGAAAAGAAAACATTAAGACCAATTTTCTAGCTATATCCTATAGGTAAACAGGCCACAACACTTACCTTGGTGTTGTTCTTACAATCCAGACAGACATCAGTCTGTGTGTCACTCTGACATGTGACATTCTGTGACACACTTACCTTGGTGTTGTTCTTACAATCCAGACAGACAGACAGTCTGTGTGTCACTCTGACATGTGACATTCTGTGACACACTTACCTTGGTGTTGTTCTTACAATCCAGACAGACATCAGTCTGTGTGTCACTCTGACATGTGACATTCTGTGACACACTTACCTTGGTGTTGTTCTTACAATCCAGACAGACATCAGTCTGTGTGTCACTCTGACATGTGACATTCTGTGACACACTTACCTTGGTGTTGTTCTTACAATCCAGACAGACATCAGTTTGTGTGTCACTCTGACATGTGCTGTGTTTATTACACTGACACTCCGTGGCACATTTCTGTCCCACCCATCCAAAGCGGCACTCGCACACGTCTGGGGCCACACAGGTGCCCTGGTTACACCCCTGACCTCCAAAACACACTGGGACACAGAGGTCAGTGCTGGAAAATAAATAAATGTAGACAGGGAAAAGCATTTTGTCTTAGTTAATTACAAATGCCTAGCACAGCATATTCACTATGTAAATTCTCCCCTCAATTTTTTGCCCATCTTGATATTGACTACACCATACTGAAGTGACAACTATACTGATTTATGGCATTACAGTACCACATTCTGAAAGCTCTCTGGCACCCAGGTCATCACCTAGTGTCATCATTTTCATTACTGAAGTCATAGTATTCCAGGCTAGAGAACTGACGTAAGCACCATGTTACTTTACATATTCATTTATGTTGCAATGTTAAGCTTTGATCACATCATTTAACTACTGAAATTAAGATTAAACAAAATCTTATTTACGTGGTGTTCCTCTGGTATCCAGTTTTACACAAACACGTGTATCCCTGCACCTCATCTACACAGTCATCGTTCACTTTACATTCGTGGTGGCCATTGGCGCATTCGTTCTCTGGAGGACATGCAGAGTACGCCCAGGTGGGGGCGCCACTGGCATACTGCGTCAGGTTTGCAACTACAGCTGAATGTGAAGATAAATAATCAATTGATAAATATTCTTTTTACTTTGCAACACAGTCTTATTCTATATAAGCGCTATAGAGGCTCCATCTATTAATTTACAAGTGGAGCAGTCTTATGTATCACATACTTTCTATAATATTTCTTAATTTTTTGATGATCTGATGAAAATTAACACCATTCCCCTACATAAAGAAAAATGAAGAAAAGTAGCAGAGTGCTCCACCCACCTTTCACCCCCCCTCCCCATACAATTACCTGGCAGTTCCCCCCCCCCTCCCCCTTTCCACAAAAATACACTTACCTGGCAGTGGTTCTTGTCCAAGGCTTATATTCTGTGCTGTGCACACCCCTATAGACGGCCCGTCCAGTCCTCCCTCCATACAGACACCAGCGCCATCTAGGCCACCCAGGGCACACCAACCACACCCAGCGTGCGACAAACACGTGCTGCATTTAACATGCACGCTGCAACGTGCGGGACATTTGTTCTTGTCTGTGATCATGTGACCACATTCTCCATTCACGCAATGTAATGGCTGGTATCCAGGACTCATGCACTGAAATAGGAAGATTTCATCAATTGGTAAGATATGAAACTGGCAAGACTTACCAGTTATTTGTTAATTCTGTAGGACCACCAAATATATCACAATTAATGGATGTGTATTAAGGGTGGAATTTCTATCACTGAAACATCCAGTTTTCAATTAACAATAACGCTTTCAATATGAGTCTCTCATGAAGATTATACATCAAATCCATTTACTTTCTACACCATTTTATATAACAAGTCTGTGACAAAGTGTACTGGTCTTTTGAGATACTAGATTGTAAGAATCCCAAATTCTACATGCTCAGCTTCAATTTTACTGGCATGATGGAAAACAGTGCTCACACCACATAGTATCCCAAAGAGCAGCAAATCCTGCAAATGGAGGAATATCTTATCTGTGTTTACACCTTTCAAGACTGACCTCATTTCTGGTCCTACTCCAAGCGCACCTCTGCCAGCCTCCTTCTGAACCAGAGGACGAGAGGCACGCGCTGCACGTCACGTGCTGATAACAGCGTACAGGGCAGGTGTGTGGTGGCATGGAGATGATGTTATACTGTGGAGTGGCGTCCAGTAGGGTGTTGGTGAAACAGTTCCAGTCAAAAATAGGAGCCACACTGAGGGTACGCGCCACCTCACCTACAATAGTGGATTAGTTTGTGGTTTAGTTTAGGTTTAGAAAAATCTAGGAAGTTCTAGGCAGACATTCAACAGGCATTTTAACAGACAATTTTTAAAGCCAGTGACTTTACAAATCTTCATATTTTGTTTGTGCTCTTGAACCCAAAAATATGGTCTTTTTGTTTTTAAATTGTCGAGATCGAGATCGAGATAGAGAGAGAGAGAGAGAGAGAATGCCCTTACTGGATCGTTTGTACTGTCTGGTCCAGATACAGTGTCCCAGATCTCCACACTTAGTACAGTCTGTGGCCTGACACATGCTCTCCATACAACTCTGGATCCCCGTCACTGTCCGCTGTAACCGGTTGCGACAGTTAGGAGGGTAGTAGACAGCTGTACAGTTCAGACCCCGTGTGACACACCTGCCTACAGGACAGTTACTACACCACTGACATACCTGACATAGCAATACAACATGTGGGTAAATATTGTTTATACTCACCATATAGCTTACAGCTTTAAATATTAAAACCAATCCTCAGACTCTCTAAGTACTGTGTTGTTGACACTTATCTGCTGGCGATATGCTGACATCTATACCCCCCCCCCCCTCCCTGTCCTAAAGTTTACCTTGTTAACAGATCTATGAGCTGGCCATGTAGCTAGACATTGTCCACAGTTACTGTACTCTACACACAGTCTGCTGGCGATATGCTGACATCTATACACCCCCCCCAACCCCTACCCCCCTCCCTGTCCTAAAGTTTACCTTGTTAACAGATCTATGAGCTGGCCATGTAGCTAGACATTGTCCACAGTTACTGTACTCTACACACAGTCTGCTGGCGATGTGGTTGGCGTCACACACAGTGCCCTGGTGGTACACTGTGCTGGAGTTGACAGGGGTACAGCTGGAAGGAGAAACCATACTTAAACTACAGCAATCCAACAGCACAGACCTCTACCACGGCAAAATATACATAACTAGTAAAGCAGTCACAGACCACAGGAACCACACACTGGTAGCTGAGAAAGCATCAACTTCACAATCTCAGAGTAATTGGCCCTATCTTGCAATGGTTAAGAGTTTCTAAGCAATTCTTTGATCTAGATGGATTGATGAAAAATGAATCAAAACCCATCCATATCTTTTTGAGTAAGAATGGAATAAACAGACAGACAGACAAATGGAGGGGAAACCAATCTTCTTGGCATCAGCAATAATTCAATAATAGAATAATAATAAAATATATAAGTCTCTCAAACAGTAGGAGAAATCTCTATAAACTTTACCTGCCAGGAACTGCCGCTGAGTTGGCATAACAATACGTCTGATTGGTCTCATTGCTGGTCACTACACAGGCCGAGCAGCCCACAGTGGACAGACACTGGACCTTGGTACTGTGGACCCTGCAGTGGTCAGCAGGTGGTCGTAGCTTGACCAAACTGGACATCACACTGCTGTCATAGCCACCCAGGACATACACACTGTCATTGACCACTGCGGCTGACTGACCCAGGGCCGGCTTGAGGACTGACTCTGGAGATACTGAAGTAGGAGTGGAAATAGTGTCAGATACATGTAAATAATTTTTTTACATAAACAAGTATTTCTTAATTGTGGGTAAATATAGACTCAAACAAAAATCCAAGGAAAAAACTTAAAGGATCATGTACAGTATTTCTTATTTTACCTGACAAGGTTACACTAGTCTTATAGTTATAGGCCCTGGGAGAGTATTTTTAATGGTGAGAGGTCAGCTTACCTGACTGTGTCCAATCTGACCATAAGTTACACTTATAGTTATAAGCCAGGACCTGGGAGAGCATGGTGCCATTGTACCCCCCTAGCACCAGCATGGCATCCCCATAGTTCACCGCAGTGTGGCCATAGCGCCCTGAAGGCTGGAATGGAACACAACTCTGGTCTAAGTATTAACACAATACAACGTGAGGCAGGAAAGGACTAATGAGTGTCTTTGGCATATATAGGTATGTATGGGAACAAGCAGTTTACTCTCTCAGTAGCAATGGCAAATGGTTTCATTACTAGGTGCTGAAGACATTACCAGTATTATCAATATCACGATATGAGGTAATGCTTCACAGCTTGAGTATGGTGTATACGTCGTCATTCTTTTAATTTACTACCTCATTTTTACAATTTTTTCATTTTGTACTGTACATAACTGCCTCTTTTTTGGTGAATTCATTAACATTGACTATTTGCCTACCTTGTTCCCAGTGTCTGGAGGAAGGATGGACCACAGTAAAGTGACCATATTTACCTTGTTCCCAGTGTCTGGAGGAAGGATGAACCACAGTAAAGTGACCATATTTACCTTGTTCCCAGTGTCTGGAGGAAGGATGGACCACACTAGAGTGTCCACGGAGAAGGTATAGAGATCCGCTGATATCACAGTCTGGTCTATGTCAAATTTGTAGCCTCCAAACACATAGATGGCGCTACTGTCTGGGTGATAAACTGCACTGTGGCTGTAGATGCCTAGAGATATGACATGTACCAGCTATATTAATAAGAATATTAATGAGGGTATTCAGAAGATTGAATTACTTAGGATGAAGAAGATATTTAGTCATAAGGTCAATATGTAACTCTTCCCACACCACCCCACTTTCATTGTTTTATTATATAAAAAAATTCTGAATGAGACTAATTTCAGTTTATAAACACACACAAACACACACACAAATGGAGAGAGCGTACTACCTGTGGGTGAGTTTCCTTTCCCAGTGGTCTCATTCAGTAGAGTCTGTACAGAGTTGGTGCTGACCTCCAGTTCATAGGTGGTATTACTGAAGTAGTTCTCTGTGGAGAAGCCTCCAATGATGACCACTCTGGTATCAGTGACCAGGGTCATGGTGTGACCAGCCAGAGGAGGGAAGTACAGGGTGGCTGGGAGCTGTGGACGAAATAAGGCACTTTAATTTTCTTTCCACTTTTAGTAAAATATCTTTAAATGTATCAGCTACAACAAACAATCTTTATAAAATCTTGAAAATTTTGAAGATGGCAAAAAACAAGCATAATATTCAGTGCTGTTTGCCATCAAACTCATCTATATAATGATTATGTGGCAGGTGTGAAGGTGTGAACACATGCGCGAAATGTGTGGATGTGATCACTTCAATGCCACTTGGGTCTGATATTCTATAAATTCACTATGATACAAGACACCACCCCTGATGTACTGCTCTCCTGTATATTACATACACCTCACTGACTACAGGTGTAACTATTATTGGTTAACATTGAAAAGAACTTGTATATCTTACTGCTATCTGAGTCCACCTTCCAGTATCTAGCGTAAACTTCCACAGTTCATTGCTGGCTACTGTGACTCCAGCACTGTGGATCAAACCTCCCAGGACATAGACAGCTCTCAGAGTGGGAATACAGACAGCAGAGTGAAACCATCTGAAATACAGAGATATAGACATAGGCACCATTGAAAAATACCATTAATAGCACGGATACAATCTCACACTTACTTATGTGAAAGTTGTAAAAACTGAAAATCATAATTTAGCTTGCAATTTTTCATTGCATTTAAATGTTATGAATAAGAATGGTCATAATGAAAAGTCAAGGGCTACATTTTCTCAAATGCCTTAGACACAATGGATGGTAAATATAATATATATATTTCAGAAAACTTAACCTGTCCTTAATTTTAACATTTCCCATTGAAATCTTCCAACAGTTAGTCCAGGCTTACCTTGGCTGTGGCGGTGTGTTGCTATAACTGACCAGTGTCCACTCCTCAGAGGTCAAGTTAAAGGCCCACATGTCATTCTTGGCCCCACTGACCAGTGAGTAGCCCCCAAAGGCCAGCAGGTGGTCATCCTCACAGTGGACCAGGGAGTGCCCCATCCTCTGAAGGTTCAGGGCGTCAGGGGTGTTGGGGAGGGGTGCAGAGAGCAGGGTGTACTCTGTGATACTCTCACTACTCTCCTGACTACAGTCTACTCCTGTATAGCCAGGGGAACAGGTACATAACTGCTTAGACTGAAATAACAAGTAAATATAAATCAATAAACATCCTGCTTATAGTGCTTCAAGATATCTGATTTTTAATCATTAAAAAATTCTTGCAATATTTTCAATCAAAATTAAGGGAGTAATGAGCAATTTATTGAAGATTTCTGCAATATCTTGACATTTTAACACCTCTGAACAGTTTTAAACATTTTTAATACTTCAAAAAATGTAATTCTAACTTGGGGAAAAAAAAAGAAAAAAAAAAAAAAAAAAACTAAGAAATCCGTTTTGTTTTTAAAATTCTAAATCATCTTTAACATTCACGAGCAACTTATTTTTCATTCATTCATCTAAGCCAGAAATGACTGTCAACAAGTCTTACGGAGTCACACTGTCCCTGTCCCAGTGCAGCACTGCAGTTATTGGGACATCTCTGTTCCTCACAGTTGACCCCTGAGTGACCGTCTGTACACAAACACTGACCGCCCACACACTGGTGATGACCTCTACAGGACCAGGGACAGCTATGGACAGTGTAGGTGGCATTGAACCAACCCTGGCCTATAATATAGGGATAGCAGTTGTCATATGTTAATATGGAAACAAGAGTTGAATTGTGAATTTGTTTAAATGATAAAATTTGAAAAAATATGTGGTCAAAGTGCACCATGAATATTTTGAAATATTTTGTGAAACACAGTCTCCCTTATAAAATTCATTGCGCTAATAAAATTATATTTATAAAGTATCTATTAATTATATAAAATATTGTTTTCAACACTTCCTTTTAGTATTTACAAAGGTAAAAACCTGAAAAAAAAATTTTTACCTTAGGTTCCTCTAAATTACAACAATGAGAGATTCAGAACTTATTCAGAACTTTTATTGCATAAAATTCAAATATTTTTACTTTAAAGAAATTCAAAACCAGTGTTAAAGTGGTCCTCACCTGAGGAGGCTCGGCTGGCCTCAAACTGAATGACCGCCAGACCAGAGGTGACCTCCACAGTGACCGCTGTCTCCAGCTGACCACATACTGCAGCCAGCAAGTGACCACCAGAGTTAGCTGTCAGTGTAGGGGGATGACCATCATAGATATATACATAGTCCTAGTAAATAATAGCTTAATAAAATACTTGAACTTATACATAATATATTAAGAATATCATCATTACATCACATTATTTACCATGTAAAATCCTTTTCTAAAGCAATAAATATTTCTCACAATGTTCAAACAGAATGAGCAAAAACCAAGGAAATATGAAACTTAAAAGAAGAATTTTATCAATTCCAGATAAAAATAAACTTCATATGTGTTCTCAATATTTCAAACATCACAATGAAAGTTAAAGCAGCTAATATAAAACTCAACAAAAGATGGCACAAACCTCCAAGAGGATACCAACCCCTTACCTCATTACAGACTGTGTTGATATTTCCAGCCTCAATTGTCACTGTAATAGAGGGCGCCTGTGTGGCTGACGCCGCCTCTTCCAATGACGTGTACGGTGTGATGGCCCACAGACAATATGCCTGACCAGTGGTAGTGACCCCTGACCCCTGCAGAGCACCCAGTGCCCCCTGTGTAGCATTGGCAATAACACTGCGACCCTGACACTTCAAGTAACACTTCTGGCCATTTCTGAAATGATACAAAATTTGTCTTCATAAACATGTAATATTATCGATTCATCTTAGAATTATGCATGACTATATTTATGTATTTTATTTAGTTTGGTTGACTTTGAACAATTTTAAAAAACAAAACTAAGTAAATCACTTTGTATCAAATGTCTTACAATGTGAATCAAAACTCAAGTTTGTCAGGTGAATAAATACCTGGGATCTCCATAGTAACCTGGAGCACAGCTCTCACACTGGTTGCCTTGGTAACCGTCAGCACAGTAACAAGTTCCGTTGTCAATGTTACAATATCCCAGAGACTCCAAGGCGTGACCATTGCAGTTACACGCTGTGCAGCCTGGAACAGACACACTTTGTGTAATTATCAAATTTCCTTAGCTAAAATTCACATGATACATTGATAATAGTCAAGACTCATAAGAAATTTTTCTTTTAACAAAAACACTGTAAATGTTCAGCTCTGAGGATTATCAATTTCTTTCATTACTCTGCCATACATTACATTTTTCTGTGAAAATCAAATTTATCAAAACTAATCTAACATTGTTTGGGCCAGTTATCAATTCATGCTGTTGGAATCTATTAAAAAATCACCGTAAGTGACAGCGTTGCCATAGCTCCCAGGCCGGCAGATCTCGCAGTGGTTTCCCATAGTCCAATGTTGACACTCATCACATAGCCCTGTCCCCTGACTACAGCTACTGTGACCATGGCAACCACAGTCTGTGTTACACTCATCACCATGCCAACCAAGATCACACTGACATACATAGTCTGGTGCTTTGGAGCAGTTGCCATGGATACACTGGTAATAACACCTGAGATAAAGTATAAATATAAAGTAAATTGAAACAATACATATTTTATATTCATGAGTGCATACTTGGACTTTTACAGTGATATTGATGATTAAAAATGACATTCATGTGAAAAAAATAATATTACTTACATCTACTCCTAATATTATTATTTAACAAATGACGAAAAGTGTTTGGCAAAGATGACTTTCATTCCCCAATGCATAGCTAGGTTTACAATTTCAAAATTGATAAAAAAATTTACTCAAATATAATACTCTGGTCTATCTTAAACTATATTTGTGAAGTGGATTTCAAACTCACGTTCTGTCACAAGCAGTCTTTCCATTGCCCTCAAATCCCCTGTTACATGTACAAGTGTACGAATCAAATGTGTTAGCACAGGTGGCATTAGGGTGACAGTCATCCAATCCCAGAATGCACTCCTGGATATCAGGGCAGACCTGATAGGACCAATCAGCAGGCTCAGAGGAAGAGATGTTATGACTCTCACTGATCACGGCAGAACAGCTGGACACATTGGAAGCACCTGTAGTGATACACGTGTGAACATTTACTACATGTAGTTAATGACAGAATTTCCTGTAGGGCCTGAACTCTGTAAGAAATATTTCTAGCCCACAGTCCTAGAAAGTTTTGGGGCCATTCCTAATTATTCATCCTAGAAAAAGATAACTTTATGGCCTTTTGTGATGCATTAAATATGACAAATGCAGTTTCATATAAATTTTTAGTGAATTTAGCCGACTTTTGTGGTGTATTTCATTTCTTTACATCAAGTGACTAATCAAGTTAGTCAGCTTACCCACATAGTCTCCCAGCACACACACGCCTATCGTAGGGTTGTCCACGTTACCACACCAACCACAGTTAAAGTCTGCCAGACAAGCCTTGCACGCTGTATGCTGCCCGCAGTCCGTGCATTTCTCCGTGCTCTCATTGTCCACCCAGCGGTTACAGAAACCATACGCATTGCGTGTGACATACTCAGCAAAGGGAAAGCATGTCTGTGTCTGCGAACACCAAGCGCACTCTCCGTACACGTCAATGCATGTGGAGCAGTTCGTACGTCTGGAAAGATTTTAATTTTCTGAATCAGTTGATCATCTTAGACACAATTTTCATAAATATCACTGAAAGCTGCTGCTGAAAAAAGTAACTGTTACATTTAAATGTACTTCTTAAGTAAGAAATTAGTGTACAACATTTAAGCTTCAATTAGTTTCAGTCATTAATTACAAGCCAAGACATTGAAATTTCTTATGAATTCAACGGAAGTAAAATGCTATAATATGATATCAATTAATAACTCAGTTGGGTGCTGCCCCCTGTCTTGAAGTTTACACTCACTGATAACACTGCAGTGGACAGGAGTCTGCATCTTTGACAGCACTGGAGTATCTTCCCTTCCTGAAGCAACGGCTGATATTCTTCAGCCACTCACAGTGGGTGTTCTGTAAGGCAGAAAGACAATGTTATCATGAATCAATATAATACTTCGCAGGTAAAATGCAGTGTCAACAAACACCCCAAACCCCCAACTAACAACTCCCCCCCCCCCCCAACCCACACCAAGTCACACACCCCTATTTCCCAGCCAGCCCCCAAATCTCCCCATTCCCAAACCTCCAACCAACAACCCCCAAACCATCACCCAGTCAACCCCCCATCACACCTCACTTCCCAGCCGCTGCCCCCCTCAATCTCCCCATTTCCAAACCCCAAACCAACAACCCCCATCTCCCCACCCCCTATTCCCAGCCAGCCAGCCCCTTATCTCCAGTCATACCTCAGCACAGCTAGGACAGTCCACAAAGTCCCCACATGTGACACAACTGGAGGCATTGAGTGTCATATGAGCCACAGGGTCAGCAGTACCACAGTGCTGGGCATCTAGAGAGGAGCTGTTCCGTAGCTCACAGGTCAGAGAGGCAGGACACCAACCACAGGAGATATCAGATAGACAGGCCAGGCAGGTGGTGTAGTTAGCACAGAACCCAGAGTTGAATGGTTCTAGGAATTCTGAGGTGAAGTCCTGGGAAAGAATTATTGTAAAACCTTGTATCATGTATTATACTTCAGTAGTAAAACTGATGCTGATGACTGAAGATTGTGGGAGCTTATTTAGAAATAAATAAAAATATGTATCTTCAGCTTTGAGGAGAAAACACTGGCAATATAACGGGGCCAAATAACAGGTGCAGTACATTAATGATTGTCAATTAAAAGGTTGGTTTGCACCTAAAAACTGTTGAAGACCTGAATTAAACTTGTTGAGATGATTGTCATGCATGTGTCTCAGGACCTGTTTTTCTTAAAACAAAAAGCGAAAACAGGAACTGTTACATTAACAGGATCTGAAGTAAAGAGAGATATAAAACAATCGTTACCATCACAACTCACCTTTAAGGCCACGGAGGGCTGCAGTAGCCTTGCTGACCACTGCAGAGCCATGAGAATGGACTTGGTGGCGAACCCTGTGGCGTTCATGTCAGTGTAGTACCTGTGGTCGGCTGTGTTCTGTGGAAAGATGACCGTGCCATCAGAACGTGATGCTGTTGTCACCTGGTAGCGGATAACTGCCGGAGAGCGTGCTACTTCCTCCTGAAATAGCCAACACAGTTATTTGTGACAACTTATTCCCCTAAGACACACAAACACAGTCTCTCTCCCTCTTCCAAATGAAAATCTTTATCAATAAATATTTCACCAGTACTGATATTAATGTTTGAACAGACAATATAAAAAAATACTTATTTATACCTACCAATTGTTTGAGATTCAGCAACCACTAATTCAATTGAATCTGAGTCTCCTACTATTTTAAATACTATAATTTGCCATTTTCCTAGACAGCAGTCTGCCCTCTTAAAGTGGTCTCTATTTTTCCGATACCATCATCAACTTACCAAGTGATCATAGCTGTCGTTCCTGTTCAGGTTGAGATGTGCCCCCTGGATCCCCCCTGCCCCCATGGCCACCCTGAGGGGGGCACCATCAAATGACTGGACCCCCATGGGGTGGATGAAGCCCCTCAGTCTGGCCAGATCAAACCTCAGGGCTGCCTCTGGCTCAAAAACCTGGACGTTAGTCACTTTAACTATCTCCACCTGGAATAGGCAACAAAATGTTAATGATAATGAACATTGATAAACTTGGCAAAATAAAAGTGAAAATCTATAACTTCCCTTAGTCAAACAGAGAAATTAAGTATTTGACAAAAAATTCAGCAGAATAAAAATGACTACTCACATCATCTGGCTGCTCCAGGTTCGGTGGTGATCTATATTTGAGCCAGTGTAACCCTGCCGGGAAGTCCTGAAGTCTGCACTGGTCAAGACTGGTCAGGAATGGACTGGACGGCCCCCACCACCCTGACTGGTCAGCGGGTATGTTAGCTGGGGGGTTACAGGCACCTGCTGGCTCTGGGGGGGACAATAGTTGAGGTGTTATCATGGTATATGTCTATCTGACTACCTCCAGCTAATACATACTGCTCATATCACATAATTACACATCACAGTGCAATCATTATATACAGGTGAAACATAGTCACTGTCCAAAGTTGACAGGAAATGTGACCTATCTCTACTGTACCTGTAACTTTCTGGCACACAGATTCCTTCACACACCAGGCACACTGAATAAAGTTAAAGTGTCACAAGTTGACAGGAAATGGGACCTATCTCTACTGTACCTGTGACTTTCTGGCACACAGATTCCTTCACACACCAGGCACACTGGTCCTTGAGGTATCTCTCAGTCTGTGTGGTGTTAGGAGGCTGTCCCTGCACTGTACAGGAACCACAGTCCTGGAGAGCATAACATATCCCCAGGCAGGGCTGGCGGTCACTCAACTGACCATCACAGTTGGTCTGAAATATAGAACATAGCTTAAATACAAAGACAGCATATCCCCAGGCAGGGCTGGCGGTCACTCAGCTGACCATCACAGTTGGTCTGAAATGTAGAAGACAGCTTATATACAAAGACAACCATCAAGATTATATGAAACTTTTTAAAGAATCAGATTACACATATCAATACAGGCATGTCCATTTGTTTTTATCTCCAAAATGTTTTTACCATTTTTACTGTTTCCCCACTTTAATGTATTATCCCTGCTTATTACTTACAAAAATCAACTGAATACATTCACTGTCACTCATAAATGGGCAGGGTTACAGACACTTAATATGACCAACAACAGTCAAGTATTCTCTTAATTAGTATTTAAACTTACAGAAATCTGAGTTCTAGGAATACACCCTGGGGTTCTGGGTGTTTTCCTCTGTGTACACCACACACAGTCGGGGTCTTTCTGGCATCCTTCCACATCATACTGTAAACAATATGTCTCCACCGCAGACTGAGAGTTCTGAAATTACAGCACCAAAACTTCTTTACTGAACCAAGACAGAAATCAGAATTTTGGGAAGTGACAACAATTTACTTCATTACAAAAATGAATATAAACCTCACTGTTAAGATATATCATCTGGACCATGTGCTCCACATTGAGCAAGGAATATAATAAAGATGCTACATAATACAATGCAGTCACTTGGATTTATTGGATCAGTTACCATTCAATTCTTGGGATCTACATACTCTCAGATGACTGAGCACAGTGCCTCTATAACCTCCCAGGATAATCAATCTTTTACCTGATTCACAGCCACAGAAGGTGGGACTTTATATGCTATGAGATCAGAGAGCACAGTGCCTCGATAACCTCCCAGGATGATAAGAGTGTCACCAAACGCTACCACAGAGGAGTGAGAGAACCGTCCTTTGTTAGGAGCATTTCCCAACACACCCACACCTGAAATAAACCACATGACAATAACACGCAAATTTAAGTGACTCACTTCCTTAACAATTGTTTATGATAGTTTTTCACAATTTTTCAAAATACTGGTCTTTTTTTTTTTCCAGAATCACAATTTCAGTTATGCAAAAAAAGTACTTTCTGACTCAATCCATTAAATTTTTCTGGAATTAATGATCTTTCAATTTAGGAATAATGCCTTAATACTATTGGGATCTAAAGACAAATTAATGTAATCTTTCATAAAAATTAATAAAAAATAAACCACCCAGTACACAGTACTCAAGAGTTCAGTCAGGATTTTGGGTTGTAAGAGAAAAGCAGGAAGAAATGACTTTGTATCCCAACGTCTAGGGATGTGGGAGTAGCTGAAAGTGGAAAACTGGGATTTCAGATTTGACTTGGTGGGAGAAAAAATCATGTCTGTGAGTTCAAGGCTCCTCACCATTGAAGAACTCCTCCAGGTTGGTGGGCTGTACCCACATATGACAGCCCAGGTGATAGAAGTGCAGGTGTTCATCATAACACTTCTCCTGATACTCATGAATATGGACATAGCCTCCATAGACCAGCATATAGTTCCCCAGGATGTGAGCAGTATGGTATGCACGTATTGGCGGGACAGGGTGCTCCCCGCTGTTGTTATGGTAATGAACCCGGGACCAGTAGTTGTAGTCCACATGGAAAACATGGAGGTGACTTGTGCGATTGCTGAACCTTGCATATTCCGTGGTAAACCCACCATACACTAGAACAGACCTGGACTCTTGGTGGTACACTGCAGAGTGACCAACTAGCCGGCGGTCAAGGGGGTTTCCTCCTTTGGTGACCACAGCCTCCCAGTCTCCAGAGTTGGCGATGTCAATTCTGTACATGGCTGATACAAAGGAGCCATTCTCCGTCTGACCACCAAACAGATAGAGCCAGCGGTCATCCACCAGGGTCAGTGTGTGGTCAGTGAGGGCTGGAGGCTGGTCAGTGCTGGAGGACACATGGAGTGACCACTGGGCACTGGTGATATTGTACAGCCACAGTTCATTGGATACCACCCCAGCAGTGGTTTTACCACCATATATATACATGGCGTCTCTGAAACCCACAGCAGCGAGGTTATGGCGCCCATCAGGCCAGGGTGATGTATGGTTTATATATGTCCATAGACTTGTTGTAAAGTCATATTTATACAGGTCATCAAGGACTGTGGAAAGGGTATGGCCACCAAATGTCCATATGGCATTCTCTAAGAAGACAGTCGCATGTCCAGCACGTGGTGCGAAGCCTGAACCAGCAGGAGACAACGTGTACCACGTGCTGTTGCCCTCAGTGGAGTTATACGGGAAGGAGCAGGAGTAGCCTGTATAGCCACTCTTACAGTCACAGAGTCCAGAGAACAAGCCACAGTCTCCTCTGTTAGGAGATCCACATTGTGATCCCTCAAATCTGGGGCAGATTACATGTTCACAGGCTGGAAGAGATAGACAATGACTTTATGATTAAATAATAATTTATAATCCCACTGAATAAAAAGATCCAAATATTCTTAATTCAAATAGATTAATGCACGAGTAAAAAGTGCTTTAGATGGTCTGGAGAGCTACAATTCCAGCTGAAATCAAAAAGGACAAGACAACTGGTCTAGCTCTTTACCTGACCCAGTATAGGCAGGGTTACACACACACTGGTGGTTCACACAGCTCCTTACCTGACCCAGTATAGGCAGGGTTACACACACACTGGTGGTTCACACAGCTTCTTACCTGACCCAGTATAGGCAGGGTTACACACACACTGGTGGTTCACACAGTGACCAGCAGGACTAGAGCAGTTGAGAAGACAGTCTGTCACGGTATACACTGCCTCAAACCCATCCAACACATAGTTACGGTCACTAAAGAAATGAATCAGCATCTGGAAAAAGACAAAAAATACTATGAAGCACTTTTTTTTCAAAACACAGTCTTTTAAAAACTCCTACTTAAAGGGAAAGAATTTTTTATTTCAAAATTAAGAGTTTTATAACTTAGTGGTCTTATGCCTGAAAAGTTTTTGAAAACACAAACAATATTGTAGGCAGTCATGTGGACCTTTAGAGTGCTTCATTTTGATAACCTTTTCTAAATAATGATCGTTGATGGAGACAATTTGCTTTCATAAAATACTAGAAATTATAGCCTTAAATTATTTAGACTTTATTGAATATAACTAACTAATTAACACAGAGGATGAATCTGGAGTATCAAATCCATGACGAGTTCACTATACACACCTCTGTTACATTAACAGTAGCCTTTAATGTATGCTTAGGTTTTCACTCACAGTTGTTAAATATTCATACTGACAATCAAATTCACGACAAAATTCAAGAACTCGAAGAACTCACATATCCTGAGGTTGCAGTGACTGTATCTGGGACTGATTCTCCGCTAAAACTTCCAATCATGGGACTGGAATAAGCCTGGCCGTCATAGACAAATAGCTGGTCATAAGAACACTCTGTGCTCATTCTACTGAAACTCAGTGTGATATACTTAGATGTTGATCCAGCTGAAAAAAATCATTATGTAAATGATAATATGGTAAAATGATTTATTTATCATCAAATACTTGTTTTATAATTAGATATTTTTATGTATTTACATTATGTAGTAACACTTTAAATCAATTTTTCATATGCATTTGAAACACTGCACAAATTTTTACATTCAATTTTTGACATTTAATAGAATATATTCAGCTGGTTGAATCAACAAAAATCTTTTTAAATATATAATTATTTGCTTTAGAAAGTAACTCATCAAAACAATCAAAGTTAAGATTAGCATTTGACACATTTGTTGAAAGGGATAACATAATTATTTATTATATATCAAAAAGTACTATACTACAATTTGTTCACTTTGTTGAGTTTTAAACTGAATCATTGGAAAAATTAAAGTACTGCATGGAAATAACTGTCACTAAACATGTGTTCTGCTTTCTGTCACTCACCATCAATGAGCCATTCACAGTGCATGGAGGGTAAATATTTCCCCTGGGCGTTCCCGTGGTTGATAACTCCATACGTCCCATTCAGGAGATATCGCCCTTTGCAGGCCACACCAAACACTATGCACTGCAACAGCAGGCTCAAGGCCAGGAACATCTGCATCCTGGACATCTGAAGATAGAAATTTCATGATAATGATATTACTTTGATGGCGTCTACTGAGAAAAAGAAAAGAGGCACAAAGTTTTATTATCTAACTAAAAACAGAATTCTGAGGAGTTAACACTAAGGAGAATTGAAAAGCATGAGAGAATGCCATTCTGTGTTAATTTTGGGCCCTTTGTTAGAACAACCCAAAGAGCAACAAGGCAGCAAAGCTGTCAAATGTACAGACAAAAAGCAGGAAATAACTATGCACAAAATAGGCTACTGTCAATTCTGATGCAAAAGTACATTATGTTAAACTGTAAATTCAACATCAATTTTTAATTATGCTCAACAGGAAATACCAATGAAAGTAAAATGTGTAACAAGCATAAGGCTTCAGGCCCATGAGAGTTCAAGTTCACACTTTGAAAATGTATAACTTCCAGAAAAAGAAGCCAATTAGACTGCTTTTCCAACTCAGGCTGCATGCCGATTTTCGAACTTGACCTCCGTTTTAGTAAGATCGATTACTCCTGAGAGTTTCACGACAACAGGCCTATCGGTTTTCCTTGAAATGTGTTTACAGTGTTGCATATATGTTGAAAAGTGAAAGAAAAAAGCATAACTTCTACAATAATGGCCCGATCATCCTG